TAAGCAGCAATTAAGGATAAAGATTAAATCAGAATATGATCAAATTAGAATTGATACAAAATGTGGCAAATTCACGTTGTCATTTGACATCGGGAAACATCGATTCCTTTAAAATATCTAAGATGCAGACACTGGCAAAGCTCCAACCACCCGCCGTTCAACAAATTTCCAGAATTTCCTGTCATCACTTAATATATTTTTCCAGATTATATGGCATCTTTCTTTTCAGTGATGAAGGTTTATGAATTAAAGGTGGACAAAAGTGACTTAACACAGCATCTATGATATGGAATGCATCAATGCATGCAATTAAGTTCCTAATTGTTATGTGAGGTTATAATCGTGTTAGGTGTATTTTAAATAGTAAACTTGAATTGATTTATTTTTTAATTACATTTGTAGGTTTTGTCTTGTTTTATACATTTTATAAATAGGCTTCCTTTGATTGTTTTTGTCCACTTATTTTTATTTAAACATTTTTTTTTTCATTTTTATTTACCACCGTTGCTTTTAATTTTATATTGGTTCATTGTATGCAGAGATGCCCTTCTAAGGTGTGAAGCCTTGTGCTATATTTATATTTTTATTTCTGTGGTACTGATGTACAGAAAATGTTCTATAGTGTGTGAATGAATATATTCTCATTGAAAAGCAACTTTTCAGGCTGCCAAAGCATGATAGCATGGTTTTCAAATGTAAAAGAAAAGGACACAAAGAAAATCAGGTGTCACACATTTAACAGGAAACATTGTATTCTGGTTATATTTACTGCTGATATTATGATTATTATCATCATCATTATTATTATCGTTACAATTTAGCTTCTGGTTCTTTTCATTCCTCCGTTTCTGGTTCTCGTATAGTCTAAATGCATACATCAACAAAGAACTATAATGGATTTTCTTGCAACATTTTTTTTTAAATCTATGGAAATATGTTTTGGCATTTGACTTCCTAAATAATACACACACTGTAAGCATGCCCTATGGGACAAATCACATTTTTTTACTCTTGAATAAAATATGCATGAACAAATGTGTGGTTTATTTTCTAACTCAGAGGTGGGTTTAATGCAAATCTCTCTCCTACTCTTACATCCTGACAGAACGTCAGTTCAGAGTATATTCAGCCAAGAACATTATTGTTTTTTTGTCACATTTCTAAAACTACTGTATCGTTATTCTTGTGTAACTCAATCAGTGCAAATGTCTGAAGTAATCTCTCAGATTTTCTTGTAACCTTTTAAAGTGGTTTAAAGTTTTCAAGCTATCTGAAGATTTGTTTTTTTATGCCTCTTAATTCTGACAAACCTTTCAGGTCCAAGAAAGATAACTGAAGAAATGAAGCTGTGTTGTCAAGTCAAGTTATTGTCATTGCCATCACATGTGGTACATGAGGTGGAACGAAATTGTGTACAGGGTCCCAGTTACACTCAAAAACAGCAACATATAAAGTATGAAAAGAATTAGTAATAAGGATCTAAGATATACACTAAGATATACGCTAAACAAACACCAGACGGTACGCTAAAAGATCAAAGATACATGCTAAACACTAATAATTCATTCAACCTTTATTTAGACAGGTAAATCTCACTGAGCCTCGAGGACTCATTTACAAGAGAGACCTGATTAATAATAATGTAAAACATAAAAATAATGTAAAAAATATGTAAAACAATACAGCGTAACAACAGCAGCCCGAACATGAGTCTGTGCTGAGCAGATGGGTATGAATGAATACAGCAGCATGAGAAGGCCTGTCACAGTAAATTTTGCAGGGCAATTGTCTCAGAAATTATTGCAATAATTGATAATATTGTTAGAAATTTGACAATAATCAGTAATTATTGTCATATTTAAGAAGAAATGTGTGTTAATTTGTTTTGCATGTAGTACTTTTTTTGACCACCAGATGGCAGTATAAGACTGTTTTAACCGAAGGATGGCTAGTGAGGGAGCAAGCAGCATGTCTCTTTACGAAAAATGGTAGGGAGGCCCCTTGACGTGACATGGGCTGTCTCTTCGTTTCTCAAAATGGCGGAGGCTCGGTGTGGTTTGGATTCTTTAGCATAGCATTTTTCACACAAAGCTTTTAATTAAAAAATCAGTTTAAGTTCTCAGCTTCTTTTTGCAGAGAGAAAAAAAAACTTTTTAGACGAAGGCACGGGTTTCAACCGTGAATTCTGGAGCTTTGACAAGACGGAGGTTCTTTCCCAAGGTCGGCCTGTTAGCTTAGCTTCTTAGCTTAGCTGCTTTTAACGATCCAAAAATGCAATTTTGGGCGGTTAAAATGTATTTTAAAGAGAAAGGCAGGGGTCAGTGAAGAGCACCAAAGTTGAGCCTTTTGTCATCCGGTGTCCAGTAGAAAGAGAGAGACATGAGGAAACGATAAAGCCGATAAATGAAAATGAGGTTGATAATTTTAATTTATTATGCAATTAATTGATTTATTGTTTATCACGACATACCTAAGCATGAGATAATCAATTATTGTGTCAATAAAACTAACAACTAAGAAATACACCAGTTTTACTTTTAAGTAGCTAACTATAGCTAAAGTACTCGCTGGCCAGCTAAATTTATTGCATAGCAAAGTGTTTCCCAACCCTGGTCCCTGAGGAACACCATCCTGCATGTTTTAGTTGTTTCCCTGCTCCAACATGCCTGATTCAGTGACTTAATTACTTCATCATGTTTTGCAACTAAAACATGCAAGATGGTGTGCGTCAAGGATTGGGAACTAGGGTTGGGAACTACTGGTATTACAAGGCACTATAGCTACATTTTGACAAAGTTTACTATTGTTTTTGTTGCTGATGTTGATTTTGAATCTTTATTACAAACCAAAAATAACACAGTTTGACATAAAATAGTTCTTTATCATCAAGAACGCTATTAGTTGAAAACTTGTCAGTCAAGGATGAACTGGATGATGATGCATCTCTCAGGTCTTGTGTCAGGTCCTTGCTGTATTATTATTATTTATTTAGTTGTTTTTGTGTGTGTGAAGCAGCTGGGATGAGAGTCAGCTCCCCCTTACTCTCATGGTTCTCAACAGTAAAGAGCTGGAATGCCTCCTCCAGGTCAGAGGGGAGTCTTTGCCTCAGAAAGCTGCCTTACACCGTACAGGAGGAGTTCAACTATCTGGGCGTCTTGTTCCTGAGTGATGGTAGGACGGAGCCGGAGATGGATCATTGGATCAGGGCCTGCCTAGTCCTCAATAATAAGGATGTTGCTTTGGTTGTTCGTGGTGAATAAAGAGTTGAGTCGAAGGCAAAGCGCTGAATTTACAGCTGTGTCTACATTTTAACCCTCACCTACATGAGGTTTGGATCTGGACTGAAAAAAAATGAAACGAACAAGCAGTAAAAGATGGAGATGTTGTTTTACATTTTCAACTTCATTTTATTTTCAACAAGTTTTTGATTAAAGAAGATCGTAGCTTTTCTGTAATTAGTTTCAAAAGTGCATCCTCAAAAATTACATATTCCATCAATGATCCTCAGGACACGCAATGATCTTCAGAACAACACACTGTTCGAATGAGGCCTCATTTTTTTTGTGAATAGACATTCATCTGAAATAATTAATTTTATTATTAAACCATTAAACGGTTTTCCCAATTAAGTATTTCTTGAAGTACTGAACTTCTGCCCATTAACCTGTATAAATAAAGGTTGAATGAATTTTAACTTCTACCATGCTTGTTCTCTCAGCAAGACTCATTAGCACCAGACAACTCATGCACGTTTGAAAAGGTTAGCAGGTTTTTCTCCTTTTCTTTTTACAGCATGACACAATTTTTCCTGCA